TGTTGTTGACTCAAATGGATACATGTATATAGTGGATTATGCAAACAATCGAATTCTTCGATGGCCACCAAATTCGAATTCTGGTGAATGTATTGCGGCTTGTACTGGTATTTCCGGAAATGGAATTGATACGCTGAATCATGCGACTGCATTGGCATTCGATAGCTATGGATCTCTTTTTGTTAGCGATGGAAACAATAATCGAGTACAGAAATTTCAGATACTTGGTGGTTTTGGTGAGCAGGAATTGTTTTAATAATTGCAATTCATTGCTTTTTATTTTGAAATTACTTCAGATGAAACTTCAACAACAACGATAACAACAACAGCGATAACAGCAACAGATCACACAACATCATTGCAAGCTTCGTCGAAGTCAAGTAGTACACGTTCATCAACAATTGCAATATCAATTGCTTTATTGGTAATATTCTTTTATCAAAAAATATTTCATAACAGTTTTAATCACATATCCTATAAATTTCTAGCTTTGGTTTCTTAATGATTGGAACTTGAGCGACTTTGTCCTTCGCCTTCCTGTTATACAATGACTTACAAAGTGCGGAAATGGATCGTCTCGTTAAAGTTGACAATCATTTTTTCTCTCTATTGCTTTCATACTAAACTTGCTTGTCGCTTTTTGTACTGCTGTGCCAATATCAAAACATGTTTTCTGTATTGCTCTATTATTGAAACAAGATTTTCTAAATCATATTCTTGTGTTATTATTATGCTTTTGTCAATAAAGCTTCATGTATGAAGTCGATGTACGTGAACTGCTATATAATTTCGAAAATAAGGGTTGATTACATATATATATTTATATGAGGGTCCGTCAGCCGGACTTTTTCTAGATTTCGCAGACATTTGAGAAGTCTACACGTATTCGAGCATGCCTGTACCTCTCATGTCCTTTCTTCGACCTGATTTATCTGTCTGTCATTTTCTCTAGCCTGTGTATTTTGTTCTTGTCGATATAATAAATAAAATAAAACCGAATCGATTATGAATCTCTAGGGAAAGTTAAACAAGTCGCTGTGATCAGTTGAGATTTATATAGTAAAAACTCTCTAATGTGAATGTGCAAAAGCGTTTGTCGTTCTAATGTATTTTCTTATTATGTGTGCACGAGAACGTGGAGGAATAGGAGTAGAACAAAAACCGTTTACTGTAAGAAGATTTTTCTAGTTGGTAATTTGTGTTACATAGAGCAGTGAAGAAATAAAAAGTCAATAATTTTGAGAAAAAAATCTGTCTGCTGTTTATAAACATTTTAAATGAATCTGACAGACAAAAAATACCATTCATAGTATTACGATCAAGTGAGAAATGACATCCAGTAAATGCTAAACTTCCAGCGGAAAAAGATTATTGAATGTCAACTAAACTAAATGAGGTTGACAAAAATAATGACAAACAAGTAATGATAAACATGAAAACTTGTGATAATGATGATGATGTCTCCAGAATGGCAATGAATTTGATTGGGCGTGGGTGTTGTTCTTCCAGTCACACCCACACCCTTATCTTTTAAACTTTTTATAAGGTTTTTCATGATAGAAAATTTAGAAAAAAAACATGTAAATTAGTAAAATCTGCAACTCTTCGAACAAATGAATTCATATCCTGTATTTTCTGATTAGTGTTAGTTTAATCAGGTGATTATCTTACTAGTCGAGATACTTCTATCATAAGACTATGCATTATCTCTTTTTTTCTTCAGCTTCATTCTTTTACGTTTATAAACATTCATTTCTTCGTTTCATTCTTTTCTGTTGTGTGACTGATACTGTCGATGAAAAGGTTTATCGCAATTTATAAAATGAAAAAAACAGGGGAAATTCCACGTATATCTTTCTATACGAACATTTTTCTTCATGTATATATAAGGCTTCATTTAATCCGTCATAGCCAAAAACGTAAGGTATACCCACGATTGATGTGTTTCCCCTATTGTATTACTGAATAGAAACATTGATTTTCAAATCCAAACATTGTTTAACGTTTTTTTTCCACTTGTACGTCTCACATTTCTCAGCTATTTTATATGCTAGGAAAGTCGTATATTGAAGAAAATATCTTTTTAAAGAAAAATAGATATTTTATGATAGTCAAATTCATTATTTTTTTTTTCGAATTTTAAAAATCAATCTCAGTTAAGTTCTAGGATAAAAAGAGATTTTTCATAGAGGCTTAAACGCTCAATTTTGAACATATTTGTCTGTTGAGAACGATTCAAAAGACAGAAAAATACGAACTATTCTAATAGGTTGATTTATATTTGTGACTTAATTGATATTGATATTATCTTATTATTCTATTTAAGAGATTAAACTTCCTATAATTGAAATGCAATCCGTACAAGATACCAACAATGTGATTACAACGACTGTTCTTAACTTGTCTGTTTCGAAACAATTGTTATTGGTTACAGATCCGAAAATACGACAACTAAGAAAAATTCTTGCTGTCATATATGGCATTTGTCTTGTAAGTTTTTATTTATTTTTTATATTTGATTATCATTGAACATGAGTAATCTTCATCGAATAATATTCATATCCGCAGTATTTGTTTTTAATTTATATTATATTCTCATGTTTTAGGTTGTTTGTGTGTTTGGTTTAATTAATGCGACATTCTCAAGAACTATCGAGTATTGTTTAATACCAAATGGATATTATGAAGAAATTGCTGAATATATTATTGCAATTCTCTTCTATGCCATCGGATTATTTGTTACATTTCGATATTCTGAAACAGGTTTACGAGTGGTAAGTTTTATGTCTTGTTTCTTTTTTCTAGGGTACCTTCAGCAACTCTTCTGACTGAAGATTTTTTTTTTGTATTCATACTAGTTCCAAAATTAAATAAAGCAATCTAATGACTGATTTCAAATGTTTTTATATTGGGATGAGAATCATTATTCGCAAAAATTAACATTTCATTGTATCAATAATCAGATGATTAAGGAATTTCTATTATCACAATTTTTCATCTTTCTAGAGACCAGTGATGGTACGACTGAAGGGAGGATACGAATTTTTTAATTATTTTAATCATAATAGTTTGAAAAAAAATTTTTAAACCTCCGCAAAGTTCGAATAATCGCGTTACCACTGCTAGAAATTTTTCCATATCTTATAAAATACATATTTATTCTTCCTAAAAAATTTCAAATGAATACTATTTGTATGGAAATCTATATGAAGATGAGTATCCTGAACGTCATTGATAAAAAAATTATATATTTCTATCGTATTTTGACTAAACAATGTAATTTTTTACTAATCATAAAAGCAAGTTCCAAGCTTTTTTATTTATAAATTAGCAGATTCTTGACACGCTTAAATTCTAGCATAATCTACTTTAATATAGAAGTTCGTCGTTTCTTCCAGTTAATTCTGTCAACAGTTAACGATAAAAACATAAACGTATTGAACATTTCATTTAAATATTTCATTTTATAGAGTTTGTTCCATTGATCATTTTCGTAAATAAATATTTTTAATTTCATTAATAAATAGGATTGCTAGGGTTAAATCGTTGTCAAATTCTGTCGATGTAAAGAAAAAAATATGAACAAAAAAAACCTATTAAGTATTTTCAATTGTTTTTTTTTCAAACAGAAAATACTTATAAGTGAACCTTTTCAAGTAGTGTTCATACTTTCTGACTAAAAAGTACTATTAAGTGCTACTCAGAGTCTGAAAAAAGAAACAATTGAAAGTACTTAATAGTGGTTTTCTCATATTTTTTTAACATAGGTGGAGCCATGGGTTATATCCGATAATTTGACTCTAAAACCGATATTTGTTAATCAAAAAAGAAATAAATTATTTAACCAATTGAAAAAATTTAAGAATATGAGGAATTCGAATGGTTGGAGAAACCGAGAATCTATCGTTTATCTTAGGCAGAAATTGCAATATTTTCTCTTATTAATTAGATAGTAATATTTTTTGAGTGTTTCCATTGAATTTTTTGATTTATAGAAAAAGAAGAAACTTAGAATGCTCCTTTATCATAAAAACAATTAGTTCAAACAGTCCTAATATGATCGAGATATAGAAATTTGTTTTTGGTCAATGACTTTCAAAATATTCTGTATAGAGCGAAGTCGAATAAAAACGATTTTTTGAAATTTTTCATTTTCGAGATATTAACGTTCATGAAAACAATTAAATCAACATGTTTGATTGATATTGCTTCAATAAAATATTTTGAGTTTTCAATTTTAGATAGCTTGGATATCCATTATTGAATTAGTTGGTATTGGTATTGCTATTTTACTTCTCATCTGTACTGATTTCACCGATAGACATGCACAAAATTCCATTACAAAATACTCAGTTGCTAATCAACAAGACAACAGTCGTGTAATTATTAAGCACATGGGCTCTTTGATGTGTACTATTGTATACATAATTGCTTTTGTTTTCGAAGTAACTATTTTATATTGTTTCTTCCTATCCACATTACATTTTGTTTTACTTTGCAGGTAATCATCGTAATATTAACATCCAAATTGGCCAAACTTATCGGTGTCAAGAAAACTATAGCCATTCAACAAATTCAGCACGTTGTTTAGTCGACAATTTAATCATATTGACTTTTACTGATGTTTGTAGTTTCTTCTACACAATGTATTTTTTCCTAGAAATACAGAAATAAATATCAAACATTCTTTCTCCAATAACTTACTCAATAGAACAATTATTTGTCTTATCAAATAAGATCACTTGACAAATATAAATCTCTTATAATTACGAAATAGAAGAAATCACCGTAGTTTAAGTTGTTCTTGTATTTTAATTGATATGATGAATAAAATGATTTCAATGAGGTGTGAGTGTGGGTGTGGATTAAGAAAAGATTCGCGTTCACATCTCTACCTACATTCACACTCACACTCCACACCCAACACCCACATCCACACCGTCACTAATACGAAAATGAATCATGTTAACATTGTTTGTCTGTCTGAAAAATGAAAGAATGCAAATGAAATAGAAATGTAAAGGAATAAGACAATTTACTGAGATTTTGATTTAAAAGATAATAATAACGTGATAATAGGATTCATTCAATCCTGAAAAAGCGTAGGAGAGCTACGAAAATTTTTATGATCCTATTTAATATTATGTAAAAACGCTTGTTAACGTAGCCCGTTTGAGTTCAAAATGTGAAACTCACATGTCTTGTCTAGCTTCACTATACTAATACAAAATACACGTTGTGGAAAATCTTGAAAAGATAATAGTTCTTGTCCAACAATAATCGATTGTCAGAAAACGCTCTTCCCTTTTTTTATTTTCAAATTTCAGATAGAAGTTTTGTTTTCATTTTTTTTTGAAAGGCACTCGTTTTTATTATTCGTCTTAATACTACTCGTTTGGCATTTATTTCCTTTTTTTCATTTGCATAATGTATTATTATTACTATCATTCAAACTATTGATTTAATGAACAAAATAAGCATGTTCTACACATTCTTTATATCTACAGCAGATCTGCTTCACGTATGACTATTTGTTCATCATTAGAAAGATCCGATTCAAATGCCAAGGATCATAAGTAATGTTGCCACTCTTCGTCGACAAACATTTTATTCAAAAATAAAACTGCATCATAGAAATATAGACGATTACATTTTTAATTTTTAAACACATATAATAGCTTTGACAACACCCGGTGTAACATAGAAACCACCAGCTTGATAGAAACAAAACTTATGACATGGAAAACAACTATAACCGGGAAAACTTCGCGTCTAAGTGTTACATTCTTGGTTTGTACAACAATTACAAATACAAGTGCTATTGTATTCACCATCTACAGCAAATGATGCTAGCAGTATGAAGACCAATGCAATGATAATTTTCAAGCACATGATTAGTTGGTTTAAACAATTGAATTTCACAAAGAATATTGGATACTGCTTCGTTAAATTATTTCTAAGTAATGTTTTCTTCTGAAAAAAAGGAACAAGAACCGTTCAGAATAGAACATTTTCTTACTTTTAATAAAAAAAAAGACTCTCATTTGCCATCTTATCTGGCACTGCTTACACTTCTTGACTCTTGAGGGGAGAAGAAACTTAACTCGTTACACATATTACAAAAACAAGAAGTCGAAGAAAGTAATATGTTCAAATCATGCAAAAAAGATTTGCTAAATAAAATAAGAGGGATGATATTTTTCAAAGCAGTAATAGAAAACATTCAATCATTATATTGAGGCTTCATAAAAATGATAAAATCAAAAGTGACTCAGGTGTTTTTTTTCTCATTGATATCTATCAGAGTAGTCACTTTTTAAATACGTTGCCAATTCTATAGCATGGTCATAGTCCATATTACAGTGATTTAATTCACTTTTTAATAAATATTTATTTCTTAATGAAATTAAAATCAGTATTTGATTGGCCTATAGGCAGAATTTTTCTCTTGCCAGGAAACAGAACGCAAGACGTCTCATATACTTTTACCCTTCGATAGGTTTATTATTATTACTTAATGATAAAACCAAACGACGTGAGAAGAATCAAAACTAAATTGCTTTGAAAAACACAAGGATAGATGAGTGATGGTCTTCTTTTCAAACAGTCAAACATGTATTTTAAACATCTGGCTGAGGTATCAACTATCAAGCTGATCATTATAGAAATATGGGTGGGTGTGGGTGTAAGCTGTGAATGTGGGCTGTGGGGGTAGGGGTGTGGGTGTTGGGATGGGAGTGGATGTTGGGGTGGTAATGGGGAGTATGGAGTGTGAATGTAGGTGTGAGAATCGTCTACGTGAAGGCCGAAACCCACACTCACATACATCCATCCCCACACCCAAATCTTGGCAAAATCCTTTCTCATAATCTTGCGAGGATCCTTGATAAGTTCTTGAATAACTCCTGATAGCATCCTGTAATCCCAACAGAGAAGAAAGTATTTGAGCAAGAACTGGAAGAAATCCTGAACAGGATCTTGTTTCAGCTTGAAAAACCTAGGAAACAGGAATTACTAGGATTCGAAACAGGATTCCGAACAGAAGTTGCCACGATCCTTGAGCTTCAGGATCCTGAAAGTTTCTTTCAGGGTTTCCCAAGGAATGAATAGGATTGAAACTAGGGTTCGATAGTGCTGTAAAGGAAGCACAGAAAACGACGTAAAATAGGACATGGAACAAGTCACATATAGAAAAGGACGTAAAAAAATAAACATATAAAGGGACGTATAGAAAAGAACGTAAAGAATTCAACGTATAAAAAGGCATATAGAAGTACGTCAGAGTCGAACGTTTAAAAAGGAATGTACAGAAAGGATATGAATGCATACGAGCCTGAAAACTACGGGTATTTTCTTTTTTCATCTGTTTAGATCGAAACGATAAAATGAATGTACTCCAGTTAAATGAAAATTTATGATGTTTCATGAGTTTAAAAAAAACCAAGAATATATAGACTAAGATGAGAAGTGAATTTCTCCATACTGTTTGCCGGCAATTGTTATGTAGTATACTGAATATAGACTGCTTTTAGTGAACGGCCTCTAGACGTTTTGTCGCTATCATTCCGAACATCTGTCTTTGACGCCGAATGTTCGGAATTGACACTTTAGTGCTCCAACGAGTGTTCGTAAGATAGAGAGCTGATGTTCATAAAATAGAGAATGAATGTTCGGAATTAACATTTTCGCCATCCAAAGCCTGTTCGGAAAAAAATCTAACGGATGTCCGTAAGATAGAGAAAGGATGTTCGAAACGAATTATGTGACATGACAGAGTTACAGAAGATAGATGTTCGTAAAAGAAATTACCGGATTTTCGGAACGTAAACATAAGGATGTTCGAGACAAAACAAACGGTGTTCAAAACAGATTTAGATGTAGACCCGTAGACAAAGAAGAATAAGTCCCATGATCTCGAAAGTAAAAAGTCGAAAATAATAATAATATCAGTTACTTTGATGAATAGCCAACACAAAATGAGAGTTTTCCTTCCGCCTCTTTATAGTTCATCAAAATAAATCGAGCAAAAGATGCAGCATCCGATACAGTAAAGACAGAAAGTAGCAAAGACAGCAGCAAAAAAGTGAATATTAAAGTATAGTGGCCGCTCTTCTCTTTCATTAACTATATATAAGTCAGTGATGTCTAAGTGAAAAGTTTATTCTCTCCTTTTCTAAGTATCTGTTGCTAAAAAGGCCTGCCTCTACTCATTTGTGTCTGCAGAAGAACAAGTGACAGAGATTTACTGTTTTTTGTTATTTATTTATTATTGAAATGTCTCTCTATTTCTTAAGAGTTTGACTTACAATCTGTGAACAATGTTCTTTGTTCAATAAAACTCATTTATTTCTGATAATGAAAAGACAAAGCAAGTAGATAGGCGACGGGTGCTAATAGTGAAGCAGTCCTTACTGAGCCGCCATTGAATAAGAGTGAATAGAAGCTTGTAATTCATTACACATTTTCACATCTGTAACTATGTGCCTAACATACCATGTAGTGTACTATAAAGGGAAGGGCGTTCCAAACATCGGTTAACTAGAACTAAAGTCTGCACTAATAAAAGAAGCAGATCTCCGTTCCGAGCATCCCTCATTTTCTATTCCAAATTCCTGTGTAAAGTGTTAGGAACATCCCCATATTTTGACTAGAAACACCCGATAGTTTCTTTTATGAACATCCGTTAAAATTAACCAGTTCCTCACACAGAAATATGTGTATTGTTGTTGTTCCGAACATCCGTTAAAAATTTTAATGAACACCCGTTTTTTTTTCGATGATCGCTCTGAACACCTGTGTTTTTTCTAATTACGAACATCCGATATTCTTATCATAAAAATGATGCTTTTTTGAAGAAAACGGATGTTCGGAACGGACTATGAAATTGGATATTCGGAATGAAAAGTAGCGACGAAACATCAAAATGTCTAGTGAACATCTGCTGCAAAATAAGGTGTGGGTTTTTTTTATCCACTTCTCTTCATTGTCATATACAGAAAGGTAAGCGGAGCTCCTTATTGAATAGAAATTTTTTGTAACGACAACAGAACAAATCAGTCATTCTTATATTTCGTACTAGCCGTAACCATTTAGACTCATGTGGGCACCTGCACAAACACAAACACGCATTAAAATCGTAAGCAATGGACCGGGCGACGTTCATGCAGTTGGCAAGGATGGCAGAAGTCTTCACTTGTCCAACCGATATGGCTGGTCTACGCACAATTGTTCACGCAATCGGTCGAAAATAGGCCTCGTTTTCTGTCCGTCTAATACATAGCACAAGAACACAGTTTTACTCGTTTGCGAGAATTGTTATAGTTTTAGACCTGGAGCAGGTATTCAACATCAACAATTGCATGATTGGTATTACCGAATCTACGGGACATCGAAGCAGTTTGTTATTGTTTCGGGATTCACTCAAGAAAGGAATGGTAATCTTAAATTTGCTAGTAGTACGTTCAACCTTAGCGGACCTTATTCGTCCGGTCAACGTGAGCTGCTTCCATTAGAACGAGATGTTATACAGCATGTTGCCAACGGAAAATTAGACAGCTATCAAGTGTGATGAAAGTGTACTTTCTTTTCTTTTCTTTTTTTTTTACTCAACTTATTCCGGTTCACAAACACTCGTTTCACTTTTGCATTAATAAATAAGATGAAAAATTTTGAACTGTATCATGAGAATTCATATGATGACTGAATAATGCTCTCATATGAAGAGGTTGTTGGTGTGGGCATAGGTTTGATTTAGTTATTTTCCAACACCCATCTCCATCCCACATCCTCACACTCACATTTGCATCGCACACCCACACCCTCAAGTATAGGTAGAGGACCACTATAGGATTATAATTGTAAACATATGACCAATCCATATCAGTCCATAGTATATAAAAACAAAACAAAGCATCATCATGAAATTTAACTAAAGTAATATTCGAATTCGTACTTTTAATTATTCGGACTATAGTCGAATGATTTTGATACCTATTGTATACACTAATAGTCCGAACAGTGCTTTATAATGCTATAATAAATGTCATAGGGTGTGGGTGTGGGTCGGGTGTGGGTGGGTGTGGGTGTGGGTGGGTGTGGGTGAGGGTGTGGGTGGGTGGGGGTGGGTGTGGGTGTGGGGTGTGGGTGTGGGTGGGTGTGGGTGTGGGTGGGTGGGTGTGGGTGTGGGTG